ATAAGGGTTCACCCAAAAGATGGTGGATAGATTGGGCGTACCAAAACAAATCCTCCTCCAGCAGGTCTTATACCATTAGCTGGTAACCTCACACCGTCTGGGAGGGTGTCGAGAATGATTTCATCGACCAGCATAGGACGGGTCGTCTGTAGAGGTATGGGTTTGCATTGGAATTTTCGGCCTTTGACCTGAATGAGTTTCAATTGGCTACCAACACTACAACACTATAAAATTACAAGTTCGAAACAGTATTTAAGCTAACAATGAGGGATTGAAGCTGATGTAAGCTCCACAAACTAGTCGCAAATGGAATCAGAAACCAGATAGCTAACCTTAATCAAAAAAACGTTCTTTTGTAGAGCTTCCTCCTTTGTCAGCGAGGTTGCTACAGTAGAACCAGGCTGCAGGATATAAAAGCCATCGCCCATTGCATCGGATGATGCGACGTATTGGCAGTCTGAACTTGGCCGAAGTATTCAAACCTATGCTGTTGGATCAGGATTGTGTGAGCAAATTGCAAACGAAAAGTTTTTGCTAATGTGAACAAATGGCTTACGAGGCTTGCTCTCGTGCTCATGTCCCCATAGTACGAGATCAAAGAAGGTCGGAATATATTGTTCTGGCAAATAAGCACCCGTGGACCGATGCGTAGATCTGCATATGATAGCTCCAATACAGAGGTCAAGCTCACTGAATTGCTACAACCCTCACCTCTTGGGACGATTTTGATGCAGAACGAGGATGTTGAACCAGTCATCGTATCCAGCACGGGGTCTGAGGAACTTTATGGTGTGCCCTGTAAAGTCAAGATTGCGTGTATTTAACTTGGAATGACTTGTGTTACCTGCAAATGCTCTACACAGTCTGTCATCCCTCTGACTTCCAATACCAAATAGTGCGACCCGAGTTGAGCCCTTCCGCAACAGGATTGGACTGACCTTCAATAGGTCATTACTAAATGAAGTAATGCTTGGCTTGCTCAGACTGTAAAGGCCTATGCCATATCTTCTACAGTGATACGAAAGAGCAACTGCTCACAAAACAGTTAACGGGCAATATTGCTTATTTTCATTTGAAGATGCAAAATATACCTGGGTAAGATAGCGACAAGATTAAAGAAATAAATGTAGAAGGTATTACGTGATCTGATTACAAAATCTATACCCACATATAAAAGAAACAAAAGAGCTACCAGAAGCTACCACCTACAGAGCGTCTTTACTTTTGCTGATGGCCTAGTTACGATGTGCTAAAGTCTAACTGAACATAGCTTACATCAAACTGGTCAATATCAGCGAATTTCCCAAAAAGGTTGACCAAACCAGCTTCGTGCAGCACGTCAAGAATAGTCAAACCCTAGAAACTGAGATTTCCGAGTTTAGTTGCTAAAAGCTATTGAAAGACGCACCTTCCCAGCAGTGTCGTCATGATTACCATGAATGGAGAAAATGGGCAAACCCACGTTGATATTTGCGTCCTGAAACGGTAAAGAAAAAATGAACAGCACCTCTCATGTTTGAGCGCCTACCTCATAGTTGACCCTGTCAAAACGGCTATGATCGAAGTTTACTGTTGCGTCCGATACAAACTCTAGAGACACCTGAAAAAAGAGAAAACAGTTCCACACGCTACACGCATACTTGTCACTATGACTGCAGAAAATGATAACATCTCAGTAATTGAAAGGCTCAAAGTTTTAGGAAAATAAGCGTACTTCTTTATCATTGAGACAATACTGACGGAGTAGCTGGATAACGCGATGCTGCATATCGCGAGATGGATTGTTTTCGTGGAAAAGATCACCACCTGAAGAGATCGGAACATAACTTATAAAAGACAAAAAATTATCAAAGGGGACGTACCAAGAAGTATCATGTCGACTTTCTTCTCCACAGCAATCTTCAACACTTCCTCGAATGTGTTCACAGAATCCAGATACCTAATGGAGAAAATGTTACAGCCTACTACGGAAAAAAGCTACGTAGCGCTTCGGTAGTGCATATGGACTGATTTAACCCGCGAATCAACTTGAAACAGTTCAGCAGCTGAGTATAGCCGAGTTAGCGCCGCAGACTACGTACAACAACGTCCGTAGCAGTGGCGCGGATCGGCTCGCAGATTGTATTCAGATATGATGCGCAGTAGACATCATCATTGACACTCAGCGTGCCACTCATGCCCAGCCTTGTTTGCTGCCTGCGATGAAACCGACTATAAACTAGCCGATTTAATGGCTAATATAGCACCTCTTAGAAACTTTCAAACATAGGTCCACGGACGCAAAAAAAAACGTAGATTAGAGCTTCATAGCTATTCAAGCCAGACTGACGTGGAGGCGGAGGCGCGCAAGTAGCAATTCGTTCACGCGCAAGTGCTGTAATCACCGCAAGGGCGCCATATGACCGCCAAGTGCGATGACGTAGAAACATACAAAATGACCTTTAGGGTTGAAAATGGACGAATAGTAAAGTAAACTTACAGATTTGGCTTATTCTCTCCATATCCGACATGAATGTCACTAGCAACCAGAATTCGTAGAATGTCTTCGCTTTCATTGGCCGATTTCTCAATCTGCTCTACAAGCGTATCATTTGCAGGTGCTGGCCTAACATCAGGCTCCTCTTGCTTATCTCCAGGGTCTTCCTCATCATCAAAATTCCCAACACCGAACATATCATCTACATAGCGATCCTGAGAAAAAATTGCTTACTTTCAAGAAAGCAAAAGAATAAAAAACTAGAAACGAACCGTTGCCATGGCGAAGCTTCTTGATACTCATGCAAGTCAGCCTCGATCCAAAAAGAAGAGCAAAATTCAGAATTCCGCGGGTGGATAAGGAATGAATCAAATCTTGGCGCACTTAGCTCACTGTAGAATGAAAAGGACGCAGTTGACGCGTTCTTGCACACGTTTACTTTGGGTGTTCAGAATCGTCTTGTTTTCTTTTTTTTTTTGTTTTCGCCAGTTTCTGGTACCTACATTCATCGGTTGCTCCGACTTTTTCCTTTTTGGATTTCTGTATCTCAGTATAGCCTACTTAATTCAAGGTAAGTTATGGATGACGCTACGAAATCACGCTTGAAGGCAATTCCATTATGTAAAACAAAAGCAGGTCCGCGAGACGGTGATTTATGGATTGAACGGTTGAAGGTTTGTTTCTCCGAAATTCATGCAGCTCTTCTGTGTTTTCTTGTTTTTCCTGGACTCTTTGAGCATGCAGACGTCATGTTTTACAACCCGTCCGAGGTCTTTATAGGAGGAATATCAAGCAATTATCAAGTTCGTACAAAACAACAAAGAATCTGATTCGGATTGGTTCAGACT